TTTATCATGGAAGCAAGTAAACGGAACGGAATTCCACAGGTGAGAAGTGCGAGAAAAGAAGCTTTTGAAATAGAAGTGGTGGCTACATTTAACTATTTGAACGTTAAAAGGGTTTGACCTAGAGTCCGGATTAGATTCACGCTGAAATTTATGTTGTCGGAGCACTAGTTTAAAAAAAAAACTCGAGAGAACAGTAGCCATGGACATATTTGTAGAAAAGACAGAGGGAAACGACATCACGTCTGTGAGAAAGTCACTGAAGGCGGGATGTCAGGTCAAGGTCGATTATATTGTAGATCCTTCTTTGGATTATATCTAGAATCTCGAGATGAACAACTGGGGCACCAGACCATATATAGTACCAATGCTCAATGCAGGGGTGATGTGTAGTGGACTCAAAGGAGAAAAACATCTTCTGGCACGATGCACTGAGTTAAATGTCCTCGCAGCAGATGGAGCTATTGATTCAATGTACTTATTCCATTTCAAGCCATTTCGAAAGCGTAAGGTCACAAAGGCACAGACAGACACTCTCGTGGTGGTTAGCATCAACCACGACGATGGCGGACAGGGAATTATCACTGTGTTGACTAAATGAGAGCAGTTTCTTTTTGGAGGCATTCAAATTTACAACCCCTGATTAATCACAAACTGAATGTCCTTTTAGGTGTTTTACAAGATGACTGATGCGAGTCCGTTTTCTTCCGTAACAGACAGGATAGAGATTATTTTGCAATAATGAATAATTAACCAGAATGTAAAACAATACGGGATCCTGTTCTATGAAGATAATGCAAATTGAGCACATATATAGAAAGATAACGTATATTTCCTCATAAACTATATAACGTTGAATAATAAAGTTTTCTTAAAATATTTTAAAAAAAACTCCTTGATGTGTCATTTCCTCATTCTTTTTTTTTTATCTGCCCAACTAAGTGATCAATTAACACACACTGGTTTTAGTTGTAAAAGAGAAACCCAGTCAACTAAAAGAACACATTACCTGTCAGCACTGAGAGCATTAAGAGTCAGCATCATTTTTTTTCCTGTGTTTCTATGTCATTTATAGAATGTCAGTAAATAAATCATTTCTTCGGCTTCTTATAAAATTGGCGTCTGCGGAGGATAACAAGAGAAGCCATTTCCTTCATAGTCAGGATTTACCTGATATTGATTTAACGCCTAGTGGTAGTAGTATTAGATGTAATAGCTTTTAAATTACTATTTCACTCAAAAGTAATTCAGGTTTAACCCCTCGGTTTATTCATCTGTCGTGATATTTGTTTCCACAAGTTAATACCAAGTAACGAGTATCATAAGTAACATATCCATGAACAAGTTTTTGAATGGCCATATTTAATTTATTAGGATTTACAATATATATATATATATATATATATATATATATATATATATATATATATATATTGTGCTGATATTTACGAGTTCAAATGTCCCTTAATAGACTGTGTTCCTGATCAAACCGAACTCATAGATAATTACATCGGTCACACTACTACATTCCTATCCAGACGACTTAAGTGGCAATGGCATTGCAAAAAAATATATTGTTGGCACTGAGGGCCAGTTTAAAAAGAGGTGATCTAACCATACCTCATCGTTTAGAATACCAGAACGAAAGTTCAATACGAAGCTGGCTAACCATTATTGGAGCCTTAGGGAAAAATAACAGAAGCCCAGCCATTAAATGGGGTATGTTACGGAATGTAAATGGCAACTCGTGTAGGACGAGTCAGGAGTAGAAGCTAGTTATTGCAGCATACAAGTCGGTTCACTTTCTCTGTCCACGGACGTCTACGGACGGAAGGAACCCGAAGGAGGCTCCGCCGAAGGGCGGAGTCTCCTTCGGGGAGGTAAAACCTGAACCCGTTTATACGGGTTCAAATGGGCTATTTTTTGGCCGAGACGAATGGCTCGGAAATGCCCACGTTAAAAAGGCCTTGTGCCACATGACGCCCTCGTGGGGGGGACGACTAAATATACAAAGGTTGCACTGAGTTGCTGAATGGAAGGTTTGAGATCATGTCCAAATGTACACACGCCAGTAAGTTAATTTTGGGGCTATACGAACCTGGATAAAGTCTGAAATTTTTTTTCGCCCTCCCTATCAATTGTTTTTTAATTCTTTTATTGTTATTTTACTTTTTCCCATTAAAAATCACCCCATTACTTCGGGTGGCATTTACGCTCTTGCTTTGCCTCTGACTGAGGCTGAACAAAGCACCCGATGAGACTTCTTTTGGTCGAAACCAGGGGTAGTGTTTCAGTCAGCTCTGAAGGCTGACTGTTTTTTTTTTAAAATCCATCAGCCACCAACATATATATATATATAATATCATCAAACGTCCTGTATGTGGATAAAAAAAAAAAATCAACCCTGGTTTTGCTGGGCTGATTTAAAATCCATCAGCCACCAACAGAATGCTATAATTCATCACGTCCTGAAACTATCAGTATATTTCTCTAAACATCCCAGTCTATTAATATCTATCTATCTATCTATCTATCTATCTATCTATCTATCCCGGTTTATTTATATCTATCTATCTATATATCTATTGTCAGCTGTTCTTGAGTCTGCATGGCTAATCGTAACCTATCTATCTATCTCTCTCTCTCTCTCTCTCTCTCTCTTATATATATATATATATATATATATATATATATATATATATATATATATGCATATATTACTCTATCTGCTATTATGTGTTCGGTTTGATCAGGAAATTAAAATACAGAAATATCATAATGAAATTCAATACCCAGTTCACCCGAAAAAAAAAAAATTAATTATCGACTACAAAAAATTTAAAACAGTTAACCTTATACCAAAAAATAACACCACACCTGAAAAATCAAAACCACAAAGAAGGAACATTTTTTACGAGTTCAAATATCCCTTAATAACATAGGTCACACTACTACATGCCTATCCAGACGACTTATGTTACACCTGTACGACCACATCCCTATCAGATGCCATTTTAACACACAAAACTTACCAGACTCCATTCCAAACATGCTAGTTGAAAATACAAGCCTAATAACCACCTCCACATGTAAAAAAAAAATAAAAATATAATGGAAGCCTTAATAATCAAAAAGAAAATGCCAAAACTTAGTAATATTAGCAACAAACACAGCTGCGATGTGCTGACTGTGTTCGGAAAATTAAACATCCCTATAACTCTAGATACATAAACACAATCCATGCGTCCATTTAAAAAGTAAAAATAAAATCTTCCTTGATAAAGACTAAAATATAGACGATGTTGCCCGGAAATAGAGAACACTTCTTCAAACACAAGAAAAATTAAATAAAAGCTTCACCGTAGTATCTTGTTTGTCGTCTTTAATGATTTATATATATATATATATATATATATATATATATATATATATATATATATATAAAACTCGTGGCCTGACGATTGCATATAGCATGAAACAGACTGTCGCCCCTAAGTGTCAACTTCTATGTTCACTTTTATATTTACACACGCTCTATCTCTGATATTGAGCACTTTATCCCATAAAATAGCACTCCTTAAGACTATATTTCTTCATATATATATATATATATATATATATATATATATATATATATATGCTATATTTATGATTTAAATTGCTCAATATTAGTGCTAGACCGTAAGTAAATATAAAAGTGGACATTGAAGTCAATACCCAGGGGCGATAGTCGGTTTCAGGCCTATACGCAATGAGTGCATATAAGTATGGAACAGACTGTCAGCGGTGGGTGATGACATCTATTTCCACCATATATATATATATATATATATATATATATATATATATATAGCGATAGAGATGGAGAGGGAGAGAAAGAGAGAGAGTTAGATAGATATGAACAGACTGAAAAATATAGATATACATATATACAGAGAGGTAGATAGATAAAGAAACATGGCATTGAACAATTGCGACATTGACTTCTTGGAGATAGCTAACTACAAAATTTTTTGTAAATCTCAACTAAAGTATATATGAAAACTAAATAAGAAATCAGTTGCAGGTATTTCGAAAAACGACAAAAAAGAAACTCTTAAAGTTGCCCTCTGGCTAGTTCATACCCAGAGAGAAAAAGCAAATAAGAAATTATACGATAAATAACGTAGAACGTAGAGTTAAATAAAAGTAAAATAAGGCAGGAGGTGAAGTGAATGAGAGAAATAAAGAAAAGAAAATGTCCCCAGAAAAAAAAAATACACAGTGAATAAAAAAAAATGTCACTGATAAAAAATTGTGAAGAAAAATATAAGCAATAAAAAATATTTCCCAATTCTCCTGTTTCATGATATATTCATTTCGTATAAGCTATTTTCTTTTGTTAATCTTATGATCGATGTTTCTATCAAATTGTCACGTATTTTGGTTAGAAAAATAAATGTGACATTTATCTTTGGCTAAAAGAACAAAAACAAAAAAATAAATAAAATAAAATACTGAATCATTTTTAGCTATGCTGAGGGAGTGTCCCTGTTATTTTATTTCCACACATTGAAATAGCCTGAGTTCAATTCTATTCTCTAGGTTTCCACCATTAAAAATATAATCCACCATTTTGAATTATAAGTAATCTATTTTCTTCTTTAAATTAATAAAGATCGAATAAAGAAATCAGTTCGGAACTCTCAGATGAAAAGCTAAACTTTAAAAGTAGGCGTCAGAAGTAAAATATATTTAAGTAACTGACAAAAATTATTATCATAATAAGGCTTTCTTTATAGAATCGAACTGACATCAACGCAACCATATATATATATATATATATATATATATATATATATATATATATTATGAAATGGACAAAGTCCGACAATTTAAGACATTTTTATGTTTATACATTCTTTTTTATAGATACAATGATTTAAGTAAATGCTCTGTGTATAATAAACAGTGTTTATAATAAACAGAGCATTTATAAATATTTGTATTTATAAAAAGAATGCATAAACATAAAATGTCTTTAAATATATATATATATATATATATATATATATATATATATATATATATATATAAAAGAAAGAACAGTAAGATATATAATCCGGTGTTCTTATAGATATTTTTATTTTTACAAAATAGTGCTCAATGTAAATTTACAGAGCATTAATATTATAAATTAACTGATTTAAAATGTGTTTTTTCGCTACACAGTTCCAACCATCGGAGGATGAAATGGAACTAATGCTTTTAATTTAATTGCAAAATTAAATTCGGGGCTTTTAGCTTCTATTTTTGAAACATGGTTGGAACTGTGTACCGGAAAAACATATTTTAAATCAATTAATTTATAATATATATATATATATATATATATATATATATATATATATATACAGTTGTTATTTGAGATAAGATCTGGATGGATCCATGCTGCTCTGAATTCCCTTGGTCAGTTTGACAGTTGAATTAACTGTCACCTCTGTTAACTGTTAAATTTTATATATATATATATATATATATAAATATATATATATATATATATATAATTTCTGAGTGTTTGAGCGTACTGGCCTTCTTCAAATTGTTGATCACGCTAGATAACAAGCCTATTCTTTCCCAGAAAGTGTAACACAGGTCTGCTCAACGTAGTTGCATTTTAAACTACAGGTGGGATCTGTGGGTGTTTATATAAAATAAAATGCTCCTGACAAGCGTATTCAGTAGGGATTAGCTAGGCCTTACTAGATGGATACTCTCAGATACGAGTGGTCGTCCATTTATATATATATATATATATATATATATATATATATATATATATATATATATATATAAGAAATTCTGAGCTCAGGTGTATAGCAATATTTATATATATTTTTCAGTTAGGCTTGGAATTGGTTAATTTCTTGGAGCTTTGAAAGGAATGGTCGCCTCTCTTAGAATTTTCAACGACATAAATCATACTAACGTTGTTTAACAAGTCCAATGCGCGTGAAGCCAACATAAACACTGAAAATCAAACAACACAACGTAACTATAACAATAAAAGGGAAACATATGCATGGAAAGTCTATTTAACCAATGAAAATCAAACAAACAATATATATATAATATATATATATATATATATATATATATATATATATATATAATTCTTTATTTAAAAAAATTTATAACATAAATATGTCATAAAAACACTACAAAAATAGCCATTTTGTTTCAACACTCTCAGTGTCTTATCAAGTGATGATGTTGAATGTAAAATAAATAGTGTGTGTGCGCGTGCTTGTGATAAATATTTTAACAACGATAAACACACGTCAATCACACTTCATTACTTCAACAACCCTTATTGGACCCATTCTTAAAAAATCTCATGTATGTTTGTCTACCACGAGGTTAACAAATAAATATATCTATGCACACAGATACACACGCATATATACACACAAACGTAAGAATATTCATTATCATCTGAATCCCACATAGGCAAACTAGAATTATGAAACATTTACATACATAAAGCAATATTTACGTTTATTTTTCAGTTAGGCTTGGAATCGGTTAATTTCTTTGACCTCGGAAAGGACTCGTCGTCTCTCCTAGAATTCTGAACGCCATAAATCATACTAACGCTATTTAACAAGTCAAATGCGCGTGAATTAAACAATGAACACAACACAAAATACTTATGCCAATATGTCTTTCTCCTTTTTCTATCTCATTTTCTGATGAAGCATTAATAAAAGTGAAAAATATTAGATTGTCTAGTCAAATGCATGGGAAGTCTACTTAAACAATGAAAATAAAAAAAAATGCAATAATATAAAAAAAACCAACATTTTTCCCCATACGTCATTCTCCGACGAGACTTTAATGAAAGCGAAACAGTTGTGTGCCAGTATCAAAAGATTTTCTCTGCTTGTTTCACTGACTTTTATTCAAGTGAAATTGAATTTACGAAAGAAAGGCAATCAAAAGCCAATATATATTCAAACAATGGAAAGATCGCACGAAACAAATCCAAATATCTGACAGTCAATTTTTCCGATTAATTAAGCTCGTTCGTTACGTTGATAAATTGACGTGTCACTGTCACGAGACAGTCGGAGTATATGGCACGGTAATTGTAATGCAATTATCAGCTGTTTCCTTGTATAAATCATTTGGCACTTATTGATCGAACAGCTAATGCTTCTTTACTGTTGACATTAATAAAATCATTCAGTTATATTTCTTTAAGAAAAAACGTTTCTCAAGTGGACTAATTGTTATCACTCTTTCCAATATTGACAGAGGTTTCCTTCCTAAGCTTTTGTTTGAAGTATGTCGAACGTCCGCATATTTAATATGCCATTATTCATCTGTCGATTTATTCCTTTTTACTTGTGACTGTTGTTGAACGTCTTCAAGTGATGTATATTTTATCTTGTATGTAATATCACACATCGAGTGAAAATGTTAAGAAAATAGTGCTGGATGTAATATAAAAGAGCTATTAATTTTCCACGAAACTTGGATTCTTGTATCGGGGAAGAATATATATATATATATATATATATATATATAAATAAACAAATGTTTGGAGGACAAA